ATTATTCTCGAAATTAAGATTGGGATTAGTATTATTATCATTAATATTATTAGAATTAAAATTAGCGTTAGGGATAGCGCTGCTGATGGAATTGGTGGTGTTAGTAGCGTTGTTATTGGTGTTAGTGCTGGTGCTGGTATTATTAGTAATAGCTTTGGTAGCAGCAGTGTAGGCAACCTTATTAATACTACTATTACTACTATTACCACTATTAATGCTACAATTATCATTAATGCTGTTGGTGGTGCCGGTACTGGCGAGGAGAGCGGTAATATTGATGACTTCAGATCCATAATTATCAATTGAACAAGATTCATTGTTGCCAAAATTACAGGTAAACTGTCGTAATTGAGATTGTTGTAATTGTAATTGATTATGATTTTTATGATCATCATAAAAAAATATTTGATAATTATTATAATTATTATTATTATATTGATTATTATTAATATCATTATATACTTTGTATTCTTCGCCATAACGCATCATATTATCGATATTCCCAACATTGGACAATGACAATTTATCATTAAAAGAAAATATTGGTAAATTCCACAATAGATATTCGTCGTCTGTATGATCATTATCATCATTATTAATAATAGATTGAAAAGTTTTGTCGGCCATTTGAAAAGAAGAGGAGGAGGCAGAGGAGAAGAAAAAAGTAAAGAAAATTAAAAATTTTTTTTTGCATTAATTGATTTTTAAATAATAAACCCCCTTTTGATCAAGCAAGTTACGTGACATTTTAAAAAAATCTACTGATGTAAGCTCAAAATAAATATTATCACAGAACCATCATATAAATTGAATTATCTCGTAATTTCTTAATTATCCTTTGTGTAAAATAATATACTGATTCATTATACATAAATTTTAATTAATTAAAAAAAATTTTTTTGTGGAATAATATGAACATGTATTATATGCGGGTTGTGTGGATTGAACACACGGCCTTCAGATCTTCAGTCTGACGCTCTCCCAACTGAGCTAAACTCGCAAATCACTTGATCTATATGGATTTTAGAAATACTTGAAATAAACATCACAAAAGAAATTTAAGGTTCATCAAAAAATCACCCCATAAAAATGAAGCTTGATAATTACCGTCAAAACAGAAAAATTATCACCGAAATCCCGATCAAAATATTAAAAACTCAGGAACCGGCATTTTCCATTATAGAATAAAGAAAGTTATATACTTGTAATAGTTAGCCCGCAGAATGGCCCTGTTGTGGGGCAGGACCTCGGATTATCATAATCCAATTTTGATGAAATTTATGTTAAAGTAAAAAATTTTAAAATGGAAAAAGCAGGCATATCATAGCCCTGTTTGGGAAATCACATCACTCTTCAGTATCACAAAAAACTTTGAGTATCACATTTCCAGAATAATTAAAAAATATCATTAAACTTTTTGCCGAAGGTCAAGAATTTTTCTTATTATTATAGAATTTCTATTTGAATAATGCATGTCTCAATTATTTGTTATCCAAACAAATTAATCATTCAATGTAACTTGAATATTCAAAATTAATTCAAATAAAATAACCTTTATTTGAACAGAAACTTTAAAGCAATAAATTACAAGTGACATCAGTGACGGAGTCATTATCATGAATCATATTTCTAGCATAACAATAAAATTACTTTGTTGATTTTATAATTAAAATTTTTTGTTATAGATAACTAGATTTATTTACTATGATTGAAGTTTAGGAGTAGTAATTAAATTATAATTTATCATCATCATCATTATCTTATATTTGCCCTATTACTATGAAAAATAAAATACGGAATTAACGTATGTCAAATTCGTTCTTAAAAATAATTTTTTTAATTAATATCCTAATACGGTTTTGAAAATTGCCTTTTTCAAATTTAGTGTGAAATCCGGAATTGGTACGGAGTCTGTATGAATTTGTAACACATTGAAAAGGTACGTGTATAAGGTACGGAATTTGTAACATACTAATATTGAAAAGATACCTTTTCGATTTCACATATAAGGCACGGAATTTGTAACAGTATTTTTTGATTCTGCGCATAAAGCACGGAATTTGTAACATAACTTAATTATAATAC